AAGTGACGTCAACCTCAACAATGGGCAGCAGGGGGCGTGAGAGTACCGCGGTACGCCACGAGAGTTTCGCGATACGTATCGTGGTTGGTGTATCGCGATATTTCGGTTCGGTTTGTAATATCGTTACACCCCTAGCTTTAGATGATGGGTGTAAACGTTTGTCTGGATGCTGACTTTTCGCTTCTATATGGACAATGACTTATGCCGAAAATTTGATAGCAGATTAGTAGTATTCCTAAAATATTAATGAGTCGTATTGTAGTGCCCAAATATTAGTAATCTGTATAAATCCGGCGTATCCTTATGTTAAATAAACATGTCAGACTTTACACTGCAGAACATACCGCCAAAGTCTTTATCTTGTTTATCCACTTTGTCTCCTCTTACAAAAGATGTTTTAGCTGCTGAGTTGTCCCTTTCTTCACTGCTACTTAAGTGCTTATTGGATCTAAAACAGCAGTATCTGGTGCGCTGTGCTAACCAGATTTAATAATGATGTACAGATTTTTTTTGGCAGCCAAAAATATTTGGTGGAAAAAGCTTTTTGGTTTTGGCCGAAAACACTTTTTGAAGCCCGAAATTACTGACCAAAATCGTGATGTTAAATACAAGAGCCGGCAGCATTTTTTGACACCTTTTGTTTTTGCTAATGGGCCATCGTGTTAGCATAGCGTTAGTCCATCAAGTAGACATTGGGAGAGTCAGTAATCCTCACAGCTGTAGAGTTGCTGTCACCCCCCAAAAAGCTGTAAGACTCGTAATAAAATTGCGTTCACATTATACGTTTACTTTTGCTTTGTTTTCCTCATCTGCTGCCGGGATAAACAGCTCAATTCCAGTTGGCAAATGTGCTCAATTTAACTAAAGGAGCCTGTGTAAAGTGCTGTCAGTGTGTGTATGGGGGTTCTGCAGAAAAGCCAGCAGAGACGTGTAAGCACTGCGAGTACTGGCTGTGTGTGTAATTTGTTTTTCTTTATGTTTATTGCAGTGGGTTTTATGTAATACTCAAAGGGGCAGTTCAGCCCAAAACTGAAAAAGACGTATTTTAGAAGGGCTTTAGTAGTATCTATCCATATAGGTTGTTCTGCTGCGAGCTGCCTCGTTTTGGAGATATTGGCTATAGAAATGTCGGTCTTCTCTTGAATATAATAGGACTGAATGACATTCTTTCTGTGGTGTTTAAAGTGCCAAAATAATACATCTTGATTAATCAACAATGTCCCTCATTCAACATAAGATACAATACACATAATCACACTGAAATAAATCTACAATTTAAAAATCATTAAAAATCACCTAAAAATCATTCTAAAAACTGCTTTGAAAACAAATCTGTTTATAGCCTATAGATTACATCTATTTATCCAATATTTCACACACAGTCTGTATTTTATAAAAAACTTTTCAGCTTTACGATTCAGCCATTATTAGGAACATAGAACCATTTTGATTTAGTGTGCTAGATTCGCTGCTGTTATTAACACTAATAGCACAGTGAAAACAAAATGGCTGCATATGCTGTTTTGTGTATTGCCTGGCAGCTAAAGGAGGCTGACATTCATTTCATTTTTTTTATTTGACATTTGAAAAGAGTCTATATCAGGGCTCTTCCTTGATTCCAAATCCAGGCCTTCTTTTCAGTTAAGTTAGTTTAATAATTACTGATTCTGATTGGCCTGAGGCTTCACACCTGGGTCACAGCTGAAGGAAGGCTGTTAAATCAGCAGTGCTCAGACCTTGTGGACCGTGATTTGAATAGCCCTGGTCTGTATAATGGCATGCACTGTTCAGAAGAAATAAAACCTGCTTTACTCCCTCTTGCTGCATTTATATTTTTTTAATTGATAAGCTCAAAAGCAAAATTAATCCAATATATTAATTTGAACATACTAGTACATAAATGATCAATTAACTACCCAAAGTTCATTTTGGCTTCGGTATTCAGCTGAAGGAAAAAAATGTTTGGCTTCAGTATTTCGGTAAATTCATATCTGTGCATAATTAGAATTTGATACACATTAGGATTCACGGAATTTATACAGATTACTAACATGAACAGTGAAAAAACTTTCTGCATTTCTCAGGGACTTCAACAGGTCTGAAACACCTTCTGCGCAGCAAATTTAATTTGATGGTCATTTAATAGCTTTGTGTGTAATGGAGAACAAGGTCAGGATGGGAGTGAGTGTGGTCTGCTGGGTCGCGGAGCTCACTTAACCAAGAACCAGATCATGCATCGAAGCCGAGCTGCCGACCCGACTGGTAGTTAGTCACTGGTGCCGGGATGCTGCTTCCTGCTTCCTGCATCCTGCCTCATACCTGACGTGTTGCTCTGTGAACGTACTGCCCGCATTGCATCGGAAGACAAGTGGCAGTTCATTCGTGGCTTTTTCTTCCTCTGTTTAGAAAGCTATTTGCCAGCAAATATGCATCATTGGCAGATTACCCTTAAGCCAATGCTAACTTTATTTCTCAGAACATGCTTTGCTCCTTCTGCGGTTGTGCCCTGTAGTCCCCACCCTGTGTGAGGCACCACAACCGCAGTCCGGCTCTGACTGACCTGATCATCTGTAGCTGACTGTTTGACTCCTGGGGTAATCAGGCTACTGAGGATGATTTAACTAAGTGCCACCCTTGCCCCTTTCTCGCACTGCTCTCTGGTTTTCCTTTACAGTTTTATCACCGTCCCGTCTATCCCAGAGAGCATATGACAGTAAGGAACACTTTTCTGATGTCTGCTGCATTTAGAGAGGCTCTGTCACTGACCCCGATTGAGCGTCTCTTATGTGGTGTTAGTCTATGATGCAAAGAATGGAAACATACAATCTTACATGTTGATTTGAATGTCTAATCCTCAAGCTACTTCAGCAGGCAGGAGCTGCTGGCCACACATGCTGTTTGCCATGATTCTGAAGTTGTCCCGATCTTAATAGCATGTTGTGATAGTGCAGATAAGAGAGAACTCGCCATCCCCTGCTCTGGAAATGTAGCTGCCATTCTCAACTATCAGACAGTGACACCATTTTGCTAAACAACGAATGAGCTCATTATCGTAACCAGAAACTCCATGTTGCAAATCCATGTCAGTCTAGATTAAAGTCTCAGCAGTCACCCCCCCCCCCCCATTGCAATTACACTTAAAAATTTAGACTTATTCCAGGGTCCCTTATCTGTTTCAACACCTGCTCATGTATGAAAATAATGAGTATGCAGAAATTGTCTAAAACTGCTAATTAGTATATCCCTGCAGATTTTCATTGACCATTGTATACTGTGGACAACAAAACGACATTAATAACTCCAGATTAATTACGGCGGATCAGTTTGTCAGCCACGTGTAACCCATCCCCTCCCTCGGCCCCCCCTCCCTCGGCCCCTCCTGCCTCGGCACAGCGGTCAGGCGTCAGTATCTGCCTGAGCTGAACTTTCAGCCTGATAGGAATCCTTACACTCCCCACTCTGTAAGGCTGTAACACAACCTTGTCTAATAATGAAAAAGCCAAACCGACAAACTGCTGTTTCTCTAGGTCAACAAATTTTCTGATGTTTTTAGTGAACCTAATGTATGTGAAAGTACTGTGTGAATTTGCTGTTGATGTCAGTTGCTGTTTGTATGTTGCACTGTGCCATGCTATACCTGTATATGCTTGGAATGACAAGAAAGCCCACTTGATTGGATGCTCTGGCAAATCTGGCATGGATGTTTATATCAGATATGTTTTATATAATCACTCTCTATGGCAATATGGTAATGCTGAAATTCATTTCCTTTTTTGCACTTAGTTTTGAAGGTTGACCATTTCAACAGTGGTTTAAGTACTGATTATCAGGAATGAGTAATACAAAGCTTTTATCATGTATGTTTACCCATAAACCTAGGGGAATTTTGGCTCGTGAAAGTGTTTGCTGTTGTAGATGAAGAAAACAGCGCAGAACACATAAGAAAAAGTGTATTAATGGAAATTGCCTGTGGATGCTTTGGGAAAATTCTGTTCAACACAACATTGCAAGAATAATGTAAAGGAAATTTGGAAAGAGAAAACTGCCAAAACTACTGTAGCAGAAAATGTAATCTTCTGTGAGGGTATGTTTCCTTAAAATTTAAAAGACCACTTGTAGCATTATTAAGTATTTAGTTTGATTTTCTTCAGTTGGTGCCAAATTGTAGAAAAAGAGCATTTTGCGCTACTTGTTACTCCCTTTTCCACATTCCATGCTTTTTGTCAAATGTTACTTTTGTACTGCTCATTTTCTCAGCATGGATTTCAGCTTTTACTACTTTAATATCCGGATGGGCGGGAATCGGGCTGATTCTGTCTGACCTGGCCGGTCTGCTTTTGGCTAACAGGAGGTGTCCCTGGTAAAAGCGAAAGTGCTGAAAGACTAAGATCTCAGGTCCTGATTATCGCTCTCCCCGGCTTCTCGTTCCCCTCCTTTCTTAATGTCTGATCGAGCACCGTGTTCCTGCCGTAAGTAATTTCATTCTCATTTCCTAAGGTCAAGTGGGAGGCTATTCTTTCCACTCAGGATGTATTTTTCTATGAATGCAAGTAGACAGCTCCGATTTGCATTGGTGGGTGTGGAATAAATGTGGACTAACAGTGTAAGATGTGGCTCAACAAGTATTTGTTGGTTTTTAAACTGCTTGGAAAATGCATGCTTTGGAAATTGCAATTAGCTAGGTGAGTAAAATTCTATATGGTGGATAATTTTAGACACTCTGCACTCATGCACAGAGTTATGCTGTTGTGCTGTGCTGATGATGGTATTCGCCTTTTTTTCCTCTCTTAAATTTGCTATAAAAATTTCCACTTATTTTGGTATTAGTCTAGGAAATGGATTTAGAGAATTGTTACAAAATACAGTCCCACTGATTCCAACCTGCCTTTTTTGGGCCTTGAATTTCGTTGTGTTCCTCAGTGTCTTCAGCAGCGCGTCAGGTGTCATTGACACAGTGCACTGGACGCGGAAGCTGATGCAGCTCTGTCTCTCCCTCTCAGCGCCCGTGCCCTGGAGAAGGCCCGTGCGCAGCTCCAAGGAGAAGTGACGGATCTGCGCACCAAGGCCCTGGAGGAGCAGAAGAAGCGGGAGCAGCAGGACGCCCTGGTGCGCCGCCTGCAGAAGAGGGTCCTGCTGCTCACCAAGGTACACCTGTCCCTCGATGCTGCTTCTGTGGTCGGGATGGGAGTATCTGTGCCACATTTTAGTTGGCTGGTGGGTGGCTGGTGTACTCTTAAAGGGAGAGTTCATCATATTTGGTATCTGCATCTCTGTGTGTGCAGGATTGGTTTGTAGCCAGGGCCTAAATTGGCCTTGATGTAGGTCTCCATGCCCAAGGCTACATCAGCTAGGTTCTCGATTAGTCAAAGAATCCCTTTGCTTGCTTTTTTACATTTCACTGTACATAAAAATAGACAGCTAAATATATATAATATATGCACACTTGTAATTGAATGATTGCTGGTTTGAATCCCCGACCAGCAAGTTACCACTGAGGTACCATGAGCAAGGTACCACCCCCAAGCACTGCTCCCCAGGCGCTGAATTAGCTGCCCCCTGCTATGTCATGATGTCACATATGGGTTAAATGCAGAGGACACATTTCATTGTTGTGTGCTGTGGTGTGTCGACAATGATCAATGATCACCAAATTCTAAATATAAATTCTAAATATATGTGTGAATGTGTGTAAGAGAGGTTTTGCACACCTTTTTATTCAGTATTTTGGAGGACTATTCATGTAGATTTTACTTTGGTTAGAATGTTGATGCACCTCTAGCAATACAATGATATAAAGCAAAGTTTCATATACCTACAGTAATATCTCACAAATCCTATTTCATGACTGCCTATTGGTTTTGGAAGGAGAATGTTTAATATTGCAGCAGTATATTAACACTGGGTGTTATAATAATCATCTCTCTGTCCATCCATTTTCTGACCACTCATACTTATCAGGGCCGGGTGGGGGGTGGGCTGGATCATAATAGTCATTCTTCTCTCATTAGGAATTGAATAGTGTCTCTGCCTGACAACAGAATAAGGCATGGTGAGGGAGTAGGCGTGGTGAGGGAGTAGGCGTGGTGAGGGAGTAGGCGTGGTGAGGGAGTAGGCATGGTGAGGGAGTAGGCTGCCCAGGGGAGGTGCCCATGTGCCCACAGTGTGCCAGAGTATTATTACCTTTGAAATGATCATGTGTTTATTGTTTGGAATTTTCCTAAACATTCATTATGGGAAACATGACTGGACGCAAGTCTAAGTGGGATAAAGGTTTCAGGCTCCTGTCTGGCCAGGACAGTGGCTGGGAACCCTCGGGCCGGCTGTGAATGGGCTGCCTCGCATGTTGGAAGTGGATTATGGGTAATTAGGAGGCTGTTCCCTTGTGTCAGGCCCTTGCACTGCCTTTCTATTTACATGTTAATGCAGGGGACCTTGTGCAGTGACCCAAGCGGCTGATGGCTCCTCCATGTTGGCCTGCAGCATCTTTACAGTAGTGATAGGTATGCAGCATAGTGTCATGTTCCCATAATGTCCCCGGTCATTTTGTTAAAGCCCATGCAGTGTAGCGGCCTGAGCATTTGTCGGGGACACAGTAGTTCACGGTGCACAGAATGCTATGTGGGATAGACGTGACTACCAGAATGCATCAGACTGGTTTGTAAAATCCAAGCTGTCATGCATTGTAGAAATGATCAGCCCAGTTCTACCACATTGGCAGTGCTAAGGCTTTGTCTTAAAACTGCAGTGAATATGACTGATCTGAATTGCACCCAGATTTCTTTTATTTTTGAGCTTCAGCTGGGATGCCATTCATTTTGTAAATGTAAATCCAAATTGATGTGCATTGAACTTCTGCTGTTAAACCTGTACAGAGCAACACAAAATTGCAGTCAGGGACTCAATATTGTGTTTGTTTCTTTCTAAGATATGAAATGCAAGTAAATTCATCTGCTGAGACATTGAAAGTTGCGACTTTGGTTTTTGTTTGCTTCCTGAGATAGTCACTGACCGTACGCATGCATTTACAGTTAGTGTATATATGATAGTTAGTTTTGTGTTTTGTTATGTGGTTATGGGGCGATTGTTTATACTCTGGAGGCTGGTTCAGTTTTGATGTTTTTGGTTTGGGAAAAAAACCATGGACAAGTATAGATAGGGATGGCTGATTAGCAGAATCACTGGTTACACAGGAAATGTGGCATTTAGTAACCTTCAGCATATAACTAGTTTGTGAATTGTTCTGATGCTGATAAAGATATTGAAAAGGAAAGTGATTATGAGTAGAACTGTTTGTCATGCAGGAATCTCTCTGTGAAAGCTGTGATGTGATGACAATTTTATGAAAGCACTTTGTCATTCGGGACACTTTTCCCTCTTGAGAAATGGCCTGCACTTGGAATGATGCATTTTCTTCATCGTACCACTTCAAATGAAGCTGCAATTCAACTGAAGTATCTTTCCCTGAGATAATTTTGTGTGAATGGTGACTTTGAGGCATCTTTTTGTGAATAATTCTCTTGATACAGTTTCCTTTACTGCTGTACCATCATCTTTAATATTGTAGTGTTTAGTGTCGCTGATACTGTGGGTCTGTGGCATTTTAGCGTGTTGATATTATAAGTTTTCTTTTTTTCAAGATGCTAGTCTTTTGCTTCACAATTGGAACAAATTGTTCTTCTGAAAAGTGCTGCAATATGTTTTTTTACCTGGGAAATGGATATATTGCCAATGTAATTAAAAATACAGTATTAATTATATCCACTACATTAATGCGATACTTGTTACTTTTAATAATTAGATGTCTAGCGGTTTCCGCAAAATGAAATGTTGAATGTTTGAAGAGAAACGTTTGCCTTAAGTCCTAGACGACGCCACCCCCCCCCCATCCCATGCCAGCGAATTTCCAGCAGAGGAAATGGCTTGCTTTGCTCTGCTCTGAATTAATGTGAAGGATGTGAGGATGACTGTGTTTGTTTAAAACGGATTTAATTTCATCGCCTGTCGCAGTTCATCGTGCATCGTCATACTGAGATGAAGTGCATGCTGATGGCCCTCTGATAACTCACATTTGCTGACTTTCTGAAGGGATACCTGTTTATCAGTCTTGTAATTGTCAACTCATTATTTATTCTGGCCTGTTAATGTTTTTCTTGTGTTTTTGTCATCTTTCTTGGTAACTTCCCAGCTAATGTGGCACACGGTCTTCTAGTTCAAATTTAAGGATGGCTCTTCATGACTCCCAGCACATTTCTCACGTGAGGCTTGTTTTTCCCACCTATAGGAGCGGGACGGAATGAAGGCTATCCTGGAGTCATATGACAGTGAGCTCGCCACTAACGAGTACTCACCTCAGCTGACCCGTCGGGTGAAGGAAGCAGAGGACATGCTCCAGAAGGTTCAAGCGCACAACTTGGAGATAGAGGTAAGACCGCTCCTCCCCCTTCCCAGGATCAGGCGGTGTACACTCTGTGTCCCCGGTTCAGCCTTGGGGGGGTTCTGCTTATGCTTTGGAAGCCGTGGTCCTGCTCCTCTCTGTGTCCCCGGTTTAGCCTTGGGGGGTTTTGCTTATGCTTTGGAAGCCGTGGTCCTGCTCCTCTCTGTGTCCCCGGTTCAGCCTTGGGGGGGTTCTGCTTATGCTTTGGAAGCCGTGGTCCTGTTGTCATCCACAGTATTCACTCTGCTGGTTCCACTCCTGAAGGTGCAATACTTGACATTCAGTGTGGAAGTTTTGTGGAATTCAGTACTTTGTACCTGCCATGTTCTGCAATGCATTTTCATGGAGAGGGAGAAAAGTGAGGGGACTGTTGCATATGTTTAAAAATCTGCTTACCATTGTTTAAAAGACTATTATTGTTATTTTCTTTACAAACCATGTTGAATTGTCTTGTGTACACTGCTGACTAGGCTGATTTAGTGACACGTGTTGTGTTAGTGTTCTTTATTAAGTAGCCGTGAGGTATCTCATTAAGGACATAAACTTTCTGAAAGGCTTAATGAATCTTTTTATTAAGAGTCTAACACCATAAATTTTATGTCCAGACCATTAAAAACGTCGACCTGCTTGAATAACACAACATGTAAATTGCTATAGACAGTAATTAATAACCAGATATGATGTTCCTTCTGAAACTAGTTATTGAAATATTAAATTACTGTTGGTCAGGAGTCCTCTGTGGTTTCATTTTAAAAGCATCTGCTGTAGGATTTTATTGGACATCATCCCATACCTAGTGCGGTGTTTTTTAAACACTTTACATCAAATCTAATCTTTGTTTACAAAGAGTCCCTGCGGAAAACCCTTCTGTGTATTCCAGGCAGTATCTAAAATGAAGCATTTCAGATACGTTAGCTAAGCTGGATCCCTCTTGTAGCTAGAAACCCCTCCATATCCCAATATAAGTCATTTCATATCCCGATAAGATCAGCTACTGTACGAATTGGAGAAAAATCCATAAATAGAAAGGAGTGAGCTCATGAATATCGCACGATCCATAATAGACAAGTGATCCACAAATGCACAAAACCTATTTCAGGTGTACAAATTGCTCTGTAGTTTTGTGGATATGATTTTGACAATACAAAGAAAAATACGTATTTGTGGATTGTGATATTTGTGATTTTTATTTATTTTTTTCCTACAGATCAGTCTTGGTATGAATTGGACAAAAATTCGCAAATAAATAGGAGGGAAGTCAGAAATGTTATGTTATCCACAAATACGTAAAACCCTTTTCACATGTACAAGTTGCTCCATATTTTTGCAGCAAATAGCAAATAGCAAGTGGGCAAGTGTAGTGGGACTGGCGAGGGAACACAAAAGTATTGCGAGGGAACACAAAAGTATTGCGAGGGAACACAAAAGTATTGCGAGGGAACGCATTTAAAACTTTATTGTCTGACCCTGACCTCTCAGGGGGCGCTGTCTCGACCGGGAACTTTTGTAGCTCCTGGCCACTTTTTAAGGTGTTTCTTTCACATGACATAACAGGAACTGGGACCTTAATGCTAAATAAACACATAATTTGATATGAATTTACACCGTCATGCCATTGAGCTATTGTTTTCCACAGAATAAAATGCAATTTTATCCTGCTAATAAGCTCTGCATGGCAAGAGTTGCCATGTGTCTTTTTCTGCACTTCTGCATAACTTACCCTATGAACTTTTTGTGACACACAAAAGTGGCCAGGAACTGCAAAAGTTCCTGGTACAGACTCAGAACTCAGAATCACGTTCCTAAACTTTGGTGGGAAAGCATCTGTATTTGTCCAGTTGCACTTTTATAAAGTGAGTGACGTGTGAATCTGCCAGGTGCTAGATTCTATAAAGTAAATTAACACCTAAATATGAGTACGGCTATTTGTGAGATTTAATGGTAATACCAGGGTTGGAGTCAAGCAACCCTATTTTAAGTCAGTCAAGTCACAAGTCATGAGTGGTCAAATCGAGGTCCAAGTCATCTGACCTCAAGTACAAGTGCGAGTCATTATATACAAAGCTTACTAATAAATAATAATAACAACTGACACTTGTATTGATCTTCTTGGGGAAATTCTCTTTTTAAGATAAGATAGATCTTTATTGTCACTATTACAGAAATAGTCAAAAACAGTTTAGCAGTTCTCTGTTTAGCAGCATAGAAGTAATAAATAGAATGAGTGTCTTAGTGCAATGAGCGCAGTATGTTAGTTCGTATAGAAGAGAGTCATTTAGGACGGTGGATACTGTTTCCAAGAAATAGTCATTCAGGGGATGGGGGATGGGCGCATTTGACTGCCTGTGGGTAAAAGGTTTTGTTAAGTCTCTTTGTTCTTGCCCTGATTGACCTGTAGCGTCTGCCAGAGGGGAGGGGGGAGAAAAGAGAGTGTCCAGGGTGTGAGGAGTCTTTAATGATTTTACTGGCACTTCACTGGAGTCTGCCAGTGTAAATGTCCTTGAGGGGGGGGTTAGTGCCGTTCCGATTACCCGCTCTGCCACCCTTACCACCCGCTGCAGGTTCTTCCTGTCTTCCTCAGTGCAGCTACTGAACCACACTGTGCAGCAGCAGGTCAGGAGGCTCTCGATGGTCGAGTGGTAAAAATTGGTTAGCAGCCTTTGGGGGAGGTGGGCCTGACGCATCTTCCTGAGGAAGTACATTCTGTGTTGTGCCTTCCCCACCTGGTGAGAGATGTTTGTGGATCAGGTGAGGTTGGCAGAGATGTGGACCCCTAGGAACTTGAAGCTCTCCACCCTCTCTACTTCTTCTCCATCCATGTAGAGGGCAGAGTGCTCAGCCCGCTTGGCTCTCCTGAAGTTCACTATCATCTCCTTGGTCTTGGATGTATTCAGTTCCAGGTTATTACTGTCGTACCATTGCCTGCTGAACCTCCTCCCTGTAGGCTGATTCGTCATTGTTGTCAGTCAGTCCTACCATGGTGGTGTCGTCAGCAAATTTGATGGTGTTGCTGGTGTGAATGGGAGAACAGTCGAAAGTGAAAAGGGAATAGAGGAGGGGACTGAGGACACACCCCTGCGGCGTGCCTGTGTTCAGGATGAGACGGGAGGAGATGTGGTCTCCCATCCTGACGTTCTGGAGTCTATTGCTCAGGAAGTCCATTATCCAGGTGCACAGTGAGCTGTTGAGGCCCAGGTTGCTCAGCTTTTGAACCAGCTTGTGGGGTCATACTGTATTAAAGGCGGAGCTGAAGTCCCTGTCTTCCTCTCCATGACACCCAGACTCATATATAGGTGAGAGCAAGTTTGGCAGCAAAGGGCAGCCATCTGCAGCAGCACATATGGAACTGGGGGTTAGGGGACTTGCTCAAAGGCCCACAGACAAGAACTGTTCGTAATAGTACTCCATTACAGTTGATATTCAATATTTTGCTACTCCAACAACTTCTATACCTTTTAGGGGGTCCTGGGAAGCAGAGACGTGAAGCCTGCTCCTATCAGCATAAGCACTGGTGGTGAGAATTGGCAGAGAGCACCTGATTTGATATCATATCAATATCTGTTGTCCAATTTGATCAGTATTGCTGGTGGTAATGGTGCTGAGGGTGCATCATTTTGGGCTTGTGACGCACGCTGAAACAAATGAATGCACTTCTTGACATGGGTGAAACTTAAATTCACAAGTAGTTAACACGGAAAACATTATGGTAATTGTGCCTAGTTCTGGAGAGCTGAAAGACCCTCCCACACCAATTATATCGGTATTATGGGGACATTTTGGTTTCCAAATGAATAAATTATACCATCACTGGAGAGAGAGTAATTGATAAGACCAAGACTGTCCATTGGTTCTCTGTCCGCGTCCGTCTTTGAGCTCTCCAGAACTACCCATAACCAATTCACAGCTGCCATAGCCATGATGCTATCTGTGTTGAACATCTACTTGTGAATTTAGGTTTCGCCCCCATTGCTTAATGGAAACTGAAAATGGTATAACTGAATGGCACATGACAAATGTGTATGTTACAGCTGTGGTCTTTAAATAGACTTGAAATGCTCCTTAGCCAAAAGTCTTAAATCACAATACATATTGAATCAGAAAACAAATATAGATATATCAATTCAGGTGGTCTCTGCCAATTCCAAACACTTAACTAATGTGACAGTTCTTTGTATGGATGGTGCAAGTTGAATCTTAGTCTGTCTCTTGGAGGATCTTAAATAATTTTGCCCAAAGTGACACACTTAAGGTTAAAAAAACTGCTATCCATTACAATATGTGCATGCAAAGTACTTCAGTTTCAAAGTATAAAAATACAAGTATTAAATGTACAGTGATCATTAATAAGTTCAAATGATTATTCGATTTCATAATGCAGTATTTCCATCAAAAGAGACTTTTCCTTATTCTGCTTAAGAATACACTTTAAATCTGTTATATGGATGGATCTCCCACTCTCAGGTGATATGCATCTAGATGGATGTTATAAAACATGCCTCACTGATCTGAAATGTGCATCAGGGACAGATTAGAAGGCTTATGTTAAAGTGAAGAAAAAAAAAAGTAAAAAAGAAAATTTGAGAATAGATGTATGGGAGTATGAAATATCTTTATGTTGCCAAGAGAAAGTGAGAGCAAATCAAAGGAACCATGATGACTTATTAGTGAAAAGCAGAATTGTGTTTCATATACCCCCATAGCGGACATAATGTGCATACACAGGTGGTATTTGATAAAGATGTGATTGTTAGCATTTTCTATTTCTTAATTTTATTTATTTATTTTAGTTTGTATTTTAGTGTTTTTTTTTTTATCTCCTTTCTGTTCACATACTTCCTCTATACATTATTCATGTTTTAGGTGCACAGTGGCCTTGATATTTTGAGTCACCCAAGAAAGCTTTGGTCCAATTTCATTGGTGTGATTAGTGGATCTGAAACTCAAGCTGTTGCTCAAATATGGTTGAAAAGTTCTTTTTCTAGCCTAAAGCAAGTTATTATATTAGCTTCAGCTTATCTTGTTTTCCCTGAAGTAATTTATATTATTAAAATGCAAGATGGAAATTGATATATAAATAACCAAATTAAATGTATTTAATCTGTTTTGAATATTTTATTCCATGTTAAATGTGCACTATTTGCACAGTAGGACTCCCTGTGAATTTGTTTTGTTTAAATACACTTTGGATGTTACCCCTTTCTTTTAATAGATGTGTGCCTGATGTCTTTCCTTAAAGTGAGATCCATTTATTTGGTTACTTTTAAATTTCAAATGCTTCCAAACGGAAGGTTTTACTCTCTTTTAGCAAGTGAAGTAAAAACTGTTTCTTTCTAAATTTTAGCTGGCTCATCCGAAATTGTTGTGAAATATCTAGTTGACCAGCATTCAGATGGCCAAAATTTAGATAAAGTTTTCATTTAATGTGTACAAATGTATCTTTGCCAAGTCAATATGCATTGTATGGATCATGGACTGTTTTAACAGTATCAGACCAAATAATACAGTATTTTTTTTGCAAATATGTCGATATAATTAGTTTAAGGACCTAAACAACAATAAATATTAGATTTTGACGTACTGTTCAATACTGGGTTGCAGTTTGATGAGGTAACCACTGTGGTATTGAGATTTTATTCCCTTACAAATGTGTAATTTACTCTGAATCCTCATGAATTTTCTTTACATTGTTTTGCCGTTTATTGTGGGTCACTTTATTTATATGGTGAGTCTGCAGTCGTTTATTTTCCCGTTACTCCTGGAAGTTATTTCATTGACCCCCTTTTACTCCTCTAGGCTCAGCTCTCAAAAGCTCAGGAGGAAATCGGCACCTATAAACTTCAAACCCAAAAAGTGAGTAGACTGTTTTATTAGCCATAGTGTGTGTGTGTATGTGTGTAAGATTTTTAATCTGTTTTTGTTAGTTTTCCTTTTGAATGCAGTATCAGGTTTTGATTTCTTTTGTAGCTTTTGGCTCCATTGTATCAATGCTATTTAAAGTTTATAAATTTAAACAATTGCTTGGAGCATAAACACTGCATGGCTTTCAGTGTTAATTAGATGTTTGCTCTGTGATTTATTGCCTTTGCTTCCAACAATTATATTTAATATAAATGAACTGGAATGCACGGCCAAACATCTTCTGTTATGCCAACTGGTATTGTGACTATGATGTCCTTTGCTTAATTATTCTAATTTCTCTGGTGTCATCTTTGAAATAGTTTTTCTGAAACGTCAAGTCAACGAACAGGATGTCCAGTCTGTGTATAAATGCAATATTAATGGAATAGTTGAATGTGTAAAGAGGTTATTCACACCTCATTGGCGTGTCGCGTATCTACTTCATTCAACCTATTATGGTGTTCATTGGGTCAATGACCTGATAAATGTGCATAAGAGGTGAGATCTTTCAATGATGCCATACCATTGTGGGATCACCAGCCACTATTAGCAGTAAGGAATTGGTAAAGAAGGTGGTCTCATTTAATCATTTTATAAAGAACTCTTAAGGCCATGTTAAAAATTTAATCCTCTCCTACTTTAAGTTCTGAACTGAAATACTTTTTTTCCCCCTTTTCATATCATACCTCTTGGAGAGAGCGACACACTGTGCCTGATATACTTCATCTAATATGTTTTGGCAATTACCTGCGAGGAAAATGACTGCAGGGATTTGTCTAATATTAATGCTTCTGATAAGATATTTCACTTTGGGGGAAAATGGAGGATGTGCGCTTTAAGAATCCAACCTTGAATCATCGCCCTTGCTTTAGCATCTTCCGGAGCTTCCCTGTTTTCAGCTTGCAGTCAGATTCTTCTGTCATATTCTGAAACAGCATTCTTCATGTTGGAGTGACCTATTTCGCATCAGGAATCTGATGTCAAAACGATTTCAAACTGTACCTGTGCATTAATTACAGGAAAAGTTCTCTGTACATGCTTTGTAGTTCTTAACGGTTGTAAAAAACATGTTTAGGAAGGACTGTAACGTGTTAACCATTCGTTTTAATATTTTGAAACGTTAACCCTCATTAGCTACCAGAGGAAATGCAGCTGCTTTGGTGCTCCAATTATGATTAGCACAGTTAGAACTTGTGGGCTCATCTCTAGTTTTTCATCCCCTCCCTAAATGTAATTGATTTCTGATGAGTGCCAGGCTGCTTTCCCATTAATAAACTTTTTTATAATTAAAATAAAAGAGCATGCTCAATGGCCTTCACAAAGGAGTATTTGTCACCCTACTGCCATAGTAGTGTTTTTTTATTCTTTGATTAATCTAAAAAGACTATTGAACATTGTGTTTTTGGACTTAATGATGCATATTTTTTATTACTGAGCAGTAGAACTGACTACAATATTTAATAAATGGCAGTCATTGACTGTTTAAATATACATTTTAAACAAAAGCTCAAAGACTCTTATGACTAATGCGTCTTGAGTTTATCCAAGCTAAATGTAAAGTGGTTATGGAGATAGGGAATCATGTTTAAGGGATGCATGTTATACTCTGTACATTGTTTTGTCGTTCGTATTTTGATTGTACTCCTTAAGATCTTGTGGGTTTCAGCCTGGTACATTACATGGTGTGTATATTTATGCCATTATAGCCAGTCAAAGACTGTGTAATTATCCTCTTGTTTGTCCCAAAAATGTTGGGATGTTTCATGAATAACTGCTGTAATAAAATTAACATCGACCAGATTTATGATAAATCAATCAAATGGATAAATGCACTGCATTTGTTTGGTGGGACTGTCTGAATCTTAGTGGTTCAGCATACACTGTGTGAGGAGGAGAATGTAACTTGTTTCCCCTCTGATGTTCTTAATGTAGCATCAAGGCCCAAGGCCTGTCACTGTGGAGATGCTAAACTGGCCTGGATGCACCTGGTGGCTGCCTGCCAGCCACTAGCCAGCCTGTCTTTCGAGGTTAGGGCTGTCTGCAGTGTCGGCTACATGCTGCCTGGCCTCTCTCTTCCCTCCTCTGCCAGTACTCCTGTCCCTTATTTAGAGAGACAGAGAGGTGGTGCCCATATAAATCTGGGTAATAAGTCTGCGGGCTCCACAGAAGCTGCCATCACGCGTCTTGCCTGGAATGAGCTCGGCTGAGCCATTGTTTAAGTCTGTCAGTATAGACAGCGGTGACCACCATGTTCTTCCCTTTAATGTGCCCTCACTATTGTTTTAAAGTTGTGCTAAAAGCCCAGTATTCAGTAAGACAGTCAGATGAGTCATCTATTTGCTAGCCTGGCTATCTGAGAGAGATGCCCAGGACAGGGCTATTTAACCCTGCATATACTTTTACTGCAGAACGAAATTGCATACTGTGGTCATTGAAGTTTGTTGTGATGTTATCTTGAAATGTGGGTGGGTGAAATCGGATGGGTGGGAATTTAGGTTAAAATGACAATAATAATAATAATAATAATAATAATAATAGTAATAAAAAATAATAATAATATAATGATAAATAATTTTGGTGCAGAGTGTAAGAGAGTTAGTTTGGTAGCTGAGGAGCAGGGTTGTTTCGATGTGACTTTTCTTTCTGTCCTAAGGTTGTTTATTTGGAAATTTGATGGGATACAAGTTGGATGGGGACTGTACTTAGAGCATGGTCCACCTGTCTAAGAATAAATTTTTTCAGCTAAAAGCTATAAGCATTTCATTAATCTGTCACGCCATTGGGCTTGTCCTCGCTACATCTTCATTTGCAGCATGAGACGAATGTGCCGTGCAGATGGTACACAGGTGGTCCTCGGAGACCTCCGGCTCCTGCCAGTTCATCTTGTCATGTGGGAGGCCGAGTAGTGGCCGCTGCTCATGGCATCACCCGGGCCCGTGATGAATAAAACACCGAACGTGTAGCCAGCTGCGCCCCCAATGCGGAAAAAAACCGCAGAAAAATCGAGAATGAACGGTGCATCTCTGTGATCGATTAGTCGTGAGTGGGAATGCGATTGGTCTGCTATTCTCTTACTACACCATGGACAGTGTCCAGTTTCTTAGTAATGGGACTCATCACACTTCAGAGGACTTTAGATTGTATCTTTTTAAATTTAATCTAAATCTTCTTAAGTTTTAACGTTTTTTTTTTTTTTTTTTTTATGTTAAGCGAAGTCTATTGTTAGGCTTTGGGGTTATGTATTGTGAGTTCCTTATTACATAGTTAGACCTCTGTATTTAAAATGCATTTTAAGTTGAATTTTATTGAAATACTTTGTCTTCCTTTATGTGTCATGTTTAAGAGTCTTGTTAGGTTTCAGGATTCATTGGACTGAAGGTGCTGGACATTTTAATAATTCAGGTGCAGCCTTTCTAGCTGCGGTGATTCTGGTATTGTAGTTTTGTTTTACCTTGCCCCACATCTCATTCAGTCAATTGTATTGGATTCAGACATAATAGTGTTTCTGGTGGCATTTAAACAAAAATCAAGCGGAGGAGAATCGATAAATCCATAGCAGACAGGGAAAGACATTAAACTAAATGCTTAGCACTCAGTGGTGTTTGTGCATGCATGAGGTTTACTGTAATGTTATTACAGTACCAAGAAAGCATGTTTAATCCCTCTGTAACTTAGCAGCGTTCTTTCTAACCTTCAAAATATTTCAGTTATCCTTTAGCAATTGGTGGGCGGGTTAGACATCAGAGGATGAAAAGTAAAATGGAACAGGACTGTCCTGACATCTGAATTAGATACTTTAGGTATCGTCATAACATTCATAACTCTGGGGAAAATTAGCTTGAAGCTGGTCATCTGTTTCCTTTGTTGACATTTACCTGGGCATTAAGACTGGGAAGGGTTTACTTTGGGTTTAATATTTATATTTCCTTCCATTTAGGTTTCCCCTTGGCGCTAATATCTCATTTTTTTATCCCTTTGTGCTTTATTACAGGCTGAGATGGAGCTTGATGTCCTGAAGAAACAGGCCCCCGGTGCTGAAAACAGCTCCTTTGTGATGAATGAAGAGGTCAGCTCTCTCAGGTGAGATGCTGTGGCCCAGGTCAGGGGAGAGGGGGCGCTCATGAGCGGGATTGTGATGAGGTGTTCCTCCCTGGCCACCTCCCACTAAATTCACTACCAAGAGAGACTGATTTTACATCACGAGTGCTACTGCATTGTATTAGTAAGCCAGCAGCAGTCTGAATACCTAAATAATAATAAATAATGAGGTCTCATTATCCAGTGAAATACAGGCATAGGCCGTGTATATTTGGAGTAAGACAAAGAGAAAACCCCCGGATTTGGCTGCAGAGGCAGGCAGGCAGGCAGGAAGGTAGAGGGTCCAGTGTCAGATGGTTTTCTTGAGTTTGAGTGTGACGATGATGAGAGAATGAATGCGCACTGCAGTTGCTGTGCCTTTTTAATTTTCAATTTACCTTATCTGCCGATCACTTGTGTACCAGCACTCTGCACACTCTCCAGTCAGAAGTCGTGCAGGTGACTGTTGATCCATGCAGGTAATATTCATGTGTGTGCAATGTGTCATTTCATGATAAAACTCTTAATACTTTGTGCAATAGGGTGGAGTACTCTTACGGCTTAGCCTGCCAAAAGGCATCTTAGAAGAGCACATTCGGTTTCTCATAGTCTGTGTGATTATTACCATGGCACAGCCATGGACTTGTGCAAACGCCCTTGAATTTCTGTATGCTTTAAACAGTTTTTTTCTCCTTAACTTTCAAATATTAATGTTGGTGCATGTTAGGGCATATGTCACTGCAAAGGCTTTGCTAATTTTCTGTTTTTATTTTTTATTTCTCTTTTCAGTTTGTGATTGATAGCCGTACCCTTGTTATATTATTGCTTTGAGTGCGCCTTGGTATTTTTGGATGCAGGTTGTGGCTGAATGCCAATGAGCACTCTAGACAACGTCTGGTCTGTTCTGTTCATGTATCACAGTAACTAACTATACGTGTTAATGTTTGGCTTCTTTGTTTGTGGCTTCCAAGTAAACTAACAAGCATATTTGCAACAAGCTATAATTAGTACTTTCATTAGGAAAATATTTTCTAGGTTAAATATACCAAGTTTTTTTTCCCCCCTGCATCTTTGAACCAATCATGGTTTTACACTGCAGGTGGAAATGCACCTACTTAGAGGAAACCTTTGCAAACACAGAACCATAACCATAGCTGGGGCCTATTAACCTTAAAATTGTAATATTGTGACTATGTTTAACCTTTGAGTAGAAACTCTGAGGCTAGGGATCCGTGCCAGCAATTGGAAGGTTGCTGGTTCGAATCCTGAGAATGCCACCAGTGATCCTACTCTGCTGAGCCCTTGAGCAAGGCACTTAACTTACGATTGCTTCGTCCTGGGTATGACGTTAATCTGCACCCAGCCCTGTAAGGAGGTCCTGCAACTTACAGGGAAATTTGGGGGCTGGTGGCAGGATTGGCACTGCAGCCACTGGAAAAAACTCACGCTGGTCCATTGCTGAGGTATCACCCACTGCATGGCTGCACTCAGGTTTTCATCCCTGTGGTGGGTGTGGCAATGCGCTGTAATCAGCGTGCGTCCTCTTACCTACGTCTTACGTTCCTCAAGAAAAGCAGCTCACTGAATATATCCTCACTGCAGGGATGTTGAGATTTGGCTGGTGTTAGCCAGACGCAGGTGACCATTCATTTGTAGTAAACCTCTTTATCCTTGAACATCAAGAGAAAGTTACAGAAATTCTCCAAAACTGACTGCAGTTGTAGCTATGAGATAAAATGACCTGCTGGCCAGTTTTGTACCAACTTATAACAGAGCTGTGTGTTGCATGAACTGCAACTGAATGGGCGGTGGACTTTGTACGCGAATGTAAAATGTGAGGCAGCTTTCCATCCACATCCCAGAATAGCCCCTCAACTTCTCTGCTGTTTCACATGATTAATTATTTAGCATATTAAGCAACTACTGCAGTGCCATGTTCATTGCCGCCTGACTCTGGTCTGTTAATGAAGTGAGAAATGGGATTTCTGTGAGGTCAGCATTTCATGAATGGCGGTTGATTTTGCACGCTTTGACTTGTGGCCGACGAGAACTGAAACTGCCACCACTGAAATGCGGTAATGACTGCAGAATTTCCCAATGCCTTCACGGGTGGCAACTTGTCACTAAGCATGGCACCGTCGCCCCCTACAGATCTGAACATTTAATTGAAGATGGCCCCTCTTGAGCAGTCTTCAGAACTTAGGCCTGATTAGCAGCTGAGACTGGCAGGACTTCAGATAAATAGCAAGCCTGGGCCTAGAGATGGATATCTTAATTGTTTGGTCTTGTTACAGGCAGAAGATTGAGGAGCTGGAGGCAGAGCGCAGACGTCTGGAAGATCAGAACAACATTCTGGAAATGAGATTGGAGAAACACAACCTGCAGGTAAAGGCCAGCTCCGCTTCATGAAGAAATCTATTCCCATTAAGAAATGAATCGCCGAGATGTGGCTGACTGAACAAAATTAGCTTTTATAAGTGTAATATTTTTGGCTGGTGTTATCCACACTTACCGTGATTTTATTTTTTAATTGTCGTTATATCAACTTTAATAAATGTCTGTAATTCATGGTATTTAATTTTAGTACTTTGTGTAATATAAATTCACAGATGTCTTTCACAATTTTATTTTGGTAATCGTTATGAAAGAAATTTAGACTTTGTACTGCTGTTTCATACTAAAATGTAGCAGATTAGTATTAAAGTATTACATTTAGTAAAAGCCAAAATAATGTTTAAGAAAATGACATTTATTCAGCTTTAATGAAATAAAAGGATGTCTTTTTGCATCAGAATCAGAATGCTCATGTTTGACAGAGGCAGCTTGCTGTTATGTTCATGGATTTCACCGTTTTATGCCTTTCATATGTGCATTATTTATGATTCAGATTAGTTGTGTAGTAAAAATGCTAACAAAATTTGCTGCATTAAACCTGATTGTGTGAATGTGCTTATCCTGAAAAGTTTTGCTTGGATTTTATATTTGTAAATTTACCACTTGCAGGCTTTTCCATTTTTTTTCCTATTGGGAAATAGGCTTTATTAATTAGGAATTGATTGGATAGAACACTTGCACTTGATTTGTATTTACCAGACACAAAATCCATTTTTAATACTGTGTGTTGGAGAAGAGGAAATTGACAGTGGTGATGAAATGAGTTTAGGAGCCATTTAGGTTCTCGATAGCATGGTTTACGGGAGGATCTGTCACCAAGCCACTTCTAATTGGGCTGTGTCTCCTGAAAAAAATTGTAGCTGTGGGCTTATTATTGGGAACCTTAATCTTTATATGTAATGGTTTACAGACTTCTCCCTCATTAGAGTGGAAGCTCTCTAAATGCGCTGTAGAACTTATGTCCCTCACGAGAGTTTGATGGTGGCTGTTTTCTTCATTTTATTTTAACACGCGTCTCCAGTAATATCAAAATATTCAATATTGATTCTACCAATGGGTGTTTTTGCCATTAAAAATAAATTGTTGTACAGAAACAACAGATGTTCACATATATAACTATTATTTTACGATCCAGAATATGTACAGTAAATTACACTGATGTTTTTTATCCAAAAGGAAGGGATAATATGATTTGCATAATGCTCACATTCACATCTGAATAAGTGTAGAAGATAAATGGTAGGTAGCGTTTGAGGTGACATGTGTTTGTTACCATTTGTGTATGTGAGCAAACATTTGTGTAAGGCAGTACATCATCTGATGTTCTTCATTACCTCTTAAATGGCCATTTTGTAGGCCTGTCCAGAATGAAAAGTGCATGTTCCTCTTTTCTGGTAGCTAGAGTGGTACTTTTATCAAGGTTCACTACGTGACAGTCCCACTGCCTCCTGGACCTCGTTGTGTGATCGCAGAGATTAGTAGTCTGAGTTTTATAAAGGCTGCCAACAAACAAAGTTTTGCAGAACTGATTAGACCAAAAAAGTCAGGCCTCATTACTCATTTTCTCTTGTAACTGTTCTTCATAATTCTCCACATTTTTAGATGATTCAAAGTAAATTGTAATTCATATGGGTGCCGACAATTTAATGACATCCTGTGCACATTAACAGACTGCTCAGCTGTCATCAGAAGTAATAAAACTGGGTCTAGCCTAGATAAGGACAATCGTTTGCCTTAGCCTTTGCAAGGGCAATATTAAAGAGTAAAGTATTTCAGTCTGTCTGAGAGCACGAAAAATTGACCAGCTTTATGAAAGAGCTTCACTACTGATGGCTCTGTCACTTTTAATATGGGCTTAAATCTTGAACAACTTTTTTTGAAACTGGGTCTTTTGTGCCTGAATTATTATTATTATTATTATTATTATTATTATTAATAATGATACATTAATAATTATCCTTATCCTCCACAACTTAAATGGTTAATGCAGAATCAGTGGCCCCAGCATATGGAAATAAGTAGATTAAGTTTCTGAAGTGAAGATAATGAAAATATACGTGTGTTAAGATTCTAAATTGCCTCTTGGGGGGGGGGGGGGGTTACAGGAGAAATCCAAGTTTAAAGAAGTATCTGAGTGCTCAGCAGGCGTGAAGGGCTATTCGTAGCTTCAGTCAGGGTCTGATGGGAAGGTAAGCTTCCCACCCAGGCTGCCCTCTTTAAGCAAACCTCCTGCCTCCCCCAAGGGAACTCTGTCAAGAGGCTCTACCAGCAGCCCTCTGATAATCCTTTCAGCTGGGTGAGATGAGATGGAGGGGCTGCAACCCAAGGGACTGGCTCACTCCTTTCCTCTCTGCCTTCTGATCGGTTGTGGAGGGAGGATGTCAAAAGAGCAGCCTACCACATCTCAGACTTCCCAGCTCTGCCTGTTGCAGTGACTTCCATGTTCTGTGACTGATGAAGGGGATGTGAAGAACACTGAGGGAAAGGCGGGCTTCTTTCACCTCAAGTGATTTTGCTCCCTTGTCTATAACAAGTTTGTTCACTGTGTATTTTTGTTCAGTGTAGTAATTCTGTTCAGTAGACCTTTTCTGCGTGTATCCGGGCCTCACCTGCATTTCTGTGGCGTGTCGGACCATTTTGTTTTAGAAGGGAGGATGTTCTGGTCGTCTGTCTGATGGACCAGGTGCTTGTGGCCTCTGGACAAATGTCAGTGCTCTACAACATCAGGCACATTAAAGGAACAAACTGAACCACCAAACAACACAGACTTTCCTTTTTCAAGGGGTGGATAAAGCCGCCTGCAAATTTTGATTCAGAAGGTGCCCTGTTGTAGTATCTTTAAGACCAGTACTTACTTCTCCAGTAGAGAATTTCCAGCTTTTATATGGGTTGTCAGTGTTTTGATCAGAAATAATGTACTGATGCACATGTGATGCCATATTATCCTCCATAAACTGGAAGGATTTAGCAGTGGTATCTGGTTGTTAAACAAGGTCTGAGGGATGCTAAGAGGAGTGAAGAAGTGAATTCAGATATTGAACTGGGGGGTGAGGGTGGGGGAGGCATGTGTATTTTAAGTTGTAATTGCTTTTGCTTTGTCCCAAAATGGATAAACAAAACGTGTATGATTGCAGGCTATGTTACGTACCAAGCAAATGTGTATTTTTCCCAAAGCTGAAATTTGAATATTTTGAACTTGGTTACTAATAAGTCATTTGATTCAATGTTTTGATGTTTCATTTTTAGTTTAAGAAATGTTGGGCAGGATTAGGATCCTGTTTAACCTGTGCCTGCTTTGACATTAAAACGAGATTGACATGGAGCCCTGTAGATGGATTTAAATGTTAAGTGACGTAAATTAGTATACAATAGGCAGCTAGTTCATAACCATTTATTATTTTTTGACTACTCACTTAAGGAGGGGGGGGCGGCATGGTGGTGCAGTGGTTAGCACTGTTGCCTCACACCTCTGGGACCTGGGTTCGAGTCTCCGCCTGGGTCGCATGTGTGTGGAGTTTGCATGTTCTCCCCGTGTCGTCGTGGGGTTTCCTCCGGGTACTCCGGTTTCCCCCCACAGTCCAAAGACATGCTGAGGCTAATTGGAGTTACTAAATTGCCCTTAGGTGTGCATGTGTGAGTGAATGGTGTGTGAGTGTGCCCTGCGATGGGCTGCCCATTGCTTCCAGGATAGTCTCCAGATCCTGCTATTCTTCATTAAAATGAAACTAAAAATGTATTTTATTGAAGCACGGGTAGAAAAAGCATTACAAAACAACTGTTTCAGTTAATGTTAATAGAACGATTGTGTTTTAAAACAGTGAACCTGTTCACATTTAAGTCCATAATTTTTGTTTTATTGTTGACATTTGCAATTACTACAGCATTAATGCTCATTCAGCAAAAGCCTCTTAGGGTAATCTCAGCCTAGCTATTTTCTGTAAGGTGTGCATAAGGTGTGATTAAGGTATGCATTTTAAAGGAATCTGGGGATAAAGGGAAAAAAAATATTCATGTGTAGTCAGGAAAATGAAACTACTTAAACTTATAATGAAAACTGAAGTCTACTAACCAAATAAAAATTAAACGAACGCTGAGTTGTGTCATGTAATGCATGCCTTAGTTTATCGAAAGGATTCATCCTGTTTGTTGGAAGCTTGAGCGACAAAGGTGAGATCTTTGAAACTGAAAGAGTGCCATATGGACACGGCTGCAGTTTCAAAGTCCTTCAGTAAAGCCTCTTAAACATCACATTACTTGAATACAATAGTTTTGTCACGTACCAACATTTTTATTTCAATATCAATGCTAAGTCATGAATTTTGATTTTGTAGTGGTCTATACTAAAACAATTTCTTGGACTTCCCATACTGGTCATTGTAGTAGCTAGTTTTTTGAATAAATATTAAAGTAATGATAATAAATATTAAACAAATGCAAAACTTCCCAACTTATGCTTTTTTTCTTGTTTTTTCAAGGCATCACAAGGTAACTTTTTAAATCTAACATCTTGTCTTGGATATCTTGAAAAAATAGATAAGCTTACAGATATAAACCAAATAGTTTTGTACCCTATGTATAGTATGCAATGGAAGTATCATTCATTTTCGGTTCATTTTTAAAGATATTTCTGGATTTATAATGAAATTCTGTTTAAATATATATCGCCTTAGTTACATTAGGTTCATAGATTTTTTTTTTTTAAATTATGCTGTAAGCATGAAACAAGTTAAACATTCTGTCGGAATGTGGTATATGATGCTTATTATGCTTCCTTGTCAGACAATCTAGAAAACAGTAGCTGCATTAAGTTCATAAACTTTCTGAAGTTTGATATATAAACTGTTGGGAACTTGATGCTTGTTGTACTTTTAGCGTTTTTCACTACTATTTTTTGGAAGTATAAGACCTTCATAAAGCAATCCTTTCTGGGTTATTTAGCTTACGTTTCTCCAAATACATGTCGTAAAATAGTTGGTAATAGTATGGAGTGTGTTTGCTGACAATTCACATAAATAATGCAACTTACTTGGTCTCAGTTCATTCTGAGTTGGTCTCTGTTTACACTACCAGTCAAAAGTTTTTGTACACACTGAGATTTTCTACATTTGCACGTTACTCACTTAACATTTACTAAAAATACACTCACTCTTTGCTAGTAAATTTACAGTATGTTCATTGTTTGAGTACTTTTATTAGCAAGAAAATGTAATATCTTTGATTCATCAAAGTAACCTCTAGCAGTTATAACAGCAGAGAAAATTTGAGGCATTCATTCTACAGGGGACATTAAGTACTGCTCTGTTTCATGGGGTGAAATGGATAACTACTGCATTTAAATTTATAGGACAGCCTAGAATTTGACTTTGGATCCTGCATTATATTTTTTCAGTACCGGTTTACTGTGACCCTAGTATAGAACTGAATGTATGAGGAGGCTTGCCAGTGTTTCCCCCTTGGAAGTTATGGCAATTTAAATGTGCTTTATGTTGCAATATTTAGAATACAATATACAGAGTCCATTTGGGGATACAGTGCGGTACGTACGTCTATTTTAATTAGTCTCCTGCATAAATGGACAGCTCGACTAATTAATTACTCTCTTGAGCAATTTGAACTCTTCCACTGAAGCAGGTAATGATTTAAAGGCAGGGATATAGAGAATAAGGGGTCAGATTAAACAAATCCTCAGTCCTCCAGGCGGTTAGAGCTGTGGTTGTTTTCAGTAAGTATACAGAGGTTTACGGAAGCATTGTATATCATTAACATTCCTCTGCAAGTTCTTTACTGCCGTGTCAACCATGACTTTGCTTTTCACCTGCCACATGGCAGCTTATTATATCGTTTTAAATGAGCAGGGGGCAGTTGAGGTTCTCGAAGGCTGTCTCTAACACTCAAAGTAGCTGAATGGGCAAAACTGGAAAGTACAGTTGCCTTATGGTGGAGGCTTGCAACTGTTTTTGAACTAGGGGCCCTCAAATGAAAATTGACCGGGGGGGTTTGAACTTGTTCCCTCCCCTTTTACTATGTTTTGTTTCAGAATGAGATGATTCTACTTTTGAGTGAGTCAGCAGTGGCTGTGGGGGTGTATGTGGTAATTTTATGTGACATTGAATGATTCATGGTTTTCTTTGGCGCAAAATAGACTTCATAATAATTTTCTAGATTACTGGTACAGTTTCAGCTACTTAGAGAATTTCCTCCCAAGTTCGTAAGGCAGTATGTCATGTTTAGTGCCTCCAATAATTACAGGAAATACAGAAGGATGTGAAGTCTTGCCTGCATTTGATTAGTGGCATTCCAGGTTTAATGACTCTACCTGTATTTAAAAAATAATGCTAAAATAACTGACGCAGTGGTAGGCAGTTTAATGGTGCTGAGTTTTTTAACTAGGTGTGAATCTTTTAAACTTATGATTAGAACTGACCTGCTTTTCTGCTTTTCATTGGGATCGTCAGGCTAATTCATCATGCAGGGTGGGAAATTATACCTTCTGAAGTAATCAAGGCCGGCAAGGCACTGTCATCACCTGATTACCTTTAAGCCTCCGATTACATTAGCGCTGCTCTCCTGTGAATCGTTGGTGAACTCGTGAGAATGATAACGACCGATGACTTCTGTTTAATGAAATGTAATAGGAGCAACAGAGCACAGTGCTTAAAAACGTAGCGGAATAGAGAAAGAACACGATGGAATCAAGAACAGAGCGGCTTCGTCAGAATGTCAGCCGCAGATGGCACAGAGCTGAAGTCCTCTTAGGTCGACCCTTGTGATGCTGTGGCATAAGTAACTTTAGAAAGTGTTGGGTTAGTTATAGCTACCTAATGTGACCATACCTGTTCATATAGATATGTATTCAACCTCCATACTTTTTTACAGTAGATACACATGCCTGTTCTATGGGGCTAATTGGTATTGTTTTCCAGATAAACGATAATCATACATTTGTGCCCAGGTTACTCTTTATCTACTATTCAGCTTCTGTCAGCTGAATGTCTTTGAAGCATCTGAATCACTCTGCCGATACCTTACCAACTTTCACCGTCGTCTGTTTGCTCAGTGCTGTCACGACCCCAGTCTGCGTCAGTGTTTTCTAGCCGGGCTGTCTGTTCTCCACAGGGCGCCTACGATCCCACAAAGACAAAGGTGATCCATCTCCGCATGAACCCCACCAACATAGCCAAGCAGCAGCGGCTCGACGAGGTGGAGCACCTGCGCGAGGAGTGCCAGCAGCTGAGGGAGCGTATCCGAGCACTGCAGGCAGGGGGCGCTGTGACCAGCAATGAAGGAACCCTCAGCCTCCCTCCCTCCCAGGAAGTCTTAGGTATTGTCCCCTGACCTTCAAAAGGCCCTGCCACACCTAAAGCCGTGTGCAGCACTGAGTCACAATGTCACAGCATAATGTATATCATTTGAAATAAGTGAGAGCACAGGAATAGAATTTCACTTTTTCTGTGTCAGAGAAAAATTCTTTTGAGTTTGAACTATGAACTGTAAAAGGTATAATAAAGCACTAAATGAATAATTTTGTTTTCTGATCTGCTTCTTATTTCAGAAGTAAGTCCCTGTTTGGTTGGCACATAACTGTCTACCTTTTTAAAATTGTTCACTCGGAGGCAAATTATCCATGAGGGCTTTTATGTCATACTCTGCAGCAAGCCCGTGTAGAATGCTGTAGGGATGCCCTGTCATTATTGTCATTCTGCGGCATATTTCCAGTTGAAAACTGATCAAACCATGGTATATTGTGATACTTTTTAATGAATATTTTTGTGTCAGTGAAGCCCAGCTGTAACTGTCATTGATTTGGACACTTTTTAATAAATGAGCCTGGTCTTTTGTGCCTTTTGGCAATATAAACAAACGGGCCAGAACTTTTTAATGCGCGAAAGCCATCTGATCTGCATATGTTTGATTAATTATAACGTTAAAAGGCTCTGCTGGGCTGTGAGCCGCCTTCCAGCTCCTAAGTCCTTCCTGCAGCTGGCGTCACACAGTTGCCCGCTGGACAGTGAAGCCCACACTCCCGTTCCCCCCCTTAGCTACTCTACAAGCACCTTCAGACCTACAACGCACTCTCCTTTTCTTGTTACAGTGTTACCACAGCCTTTTGTGCGAGCCCACCACAGTGAATATTTGCTTAGCCAAAGCAACAATCCCTTTAATTAAAGGAGTGAGAAGCCCGAGTTTAATCAGCTGGTATGTCTGGCATTGTTTATTGTGGTCTGAATCTGCATTAAATGCCACTCATTTTAGTAGCTTTGACTGTTCGGAGAACGGGGTGCAGGGAGCGCGCTTCAGTATTAAAACATGCTATTAGGGAGGGCGGATGCCGCGTTTGCTGAAATGCAATCAGGAATACTCTTGGCTTTATTTAATCTGGATGGCTAATAAGACTAAATAATGAGGGCCTGTGGGCTTGTTTTCTGTTCAGTATGATGCTTCCCTGTTCTATTGTGCAGTTTGGCCTTAGTTATCGACGTGCCGTGTGAAAACACAGCTCATGTCTCAGCTTATTGCCACATTACTTCTCCTTCCCAGACCCCTGAAAAATGCTCCAGACCCCTGAAAAATTCACATTCGTACCTCCTAGGACAACTTGCTATTCATTGGGGATGGGCTACACCGCCATCACACATCTTCTTGGGGGTCATATATCTTCCGTTTCAGTAATATGGGCCGTGAAAGGATGCCGTGTCATTAAAGACATTAGGCCGTGAGTAAATAAAGGAATCCTTTCGATTCTAAGTAGCAGCTCTGAGAGTGAACACGATCTGTTAAGTGATGTTCAGGTTTACAGCGCTTGTTACAGTTATTGATTTTAGTGTAACTATGGGATCCATTTTGTACTGTTACTGAGGCTTTAAAAAAACATGTGCACCTTTTCATACATTCCGTGTCGTGGCACTGTTGTGTTTTGTGTATTTCCTGGCATAAATAAGCTTGTGCTGATGTTTGCTTAAATAGAACAGCAATTACCCCCCCCACCCCAATTGCATCCCTTATTGAGCATGCCTTTCCTGGACCAAAATGGTTAGCAATCTTTGTTTATAAGTCTCTGCACGTGCTGTCTACAGTGGAGTGGACCCATCCGTCTTCCTGGGTGGGGGGGTTGGTCCTCATTCCTGGCCATGCCATGCACAGGGCAGGACTGCATACCCTGAACTTGGGTGCCACATGAGTGTCTGGAGAAAACCTGTGTGACATGAGGAGTACATGTGAAATTCACACACAGAATGAATGATTTGAACTCCACTATCATAGCTATCATACTGACTTCAGTGAAGAAATCATTGTATATTTAACTGTTTAAAACACATACACATAATCTGGCCACACTCAGCAGAAATATGTACAGAATAGGGTCAGAAATATTTGCTTTTGCAAAATATATTCTCTGACTGCAACAATAGTCTGTGTTTAAAAGGGCAACAATTTTGGCAATCGAACTATGGTGACCAAATGTGTAACTTTAGCTGTGTTATTTGTTGCATTTGTAGTAGCCATGTGTAAAATGTCCTGGTAATGAATTGTAACATTGTATCAGAGGGAGCCTTTGATGCCCATCACCTTTCACCACTTCACTGGTACCCGAGCAACCATCCCAGAGCTGTGCATAAAATTCCTCAGTCTCCCCTGTCTTTGTGCTTCTGTAAGAATTGTCCCAGCTTGATGCTATTAGATGGTTAACTTTAACAGCACGCCGCCACCCTTGTGCTACGTATATGAGAATGAGGCAGGTCGGATAATTTTCCTTGGTATGTTGTTTCTGTTCTGCAAAAGTTTGAAGTCATGGAAACCTGGTTCTGACATTAATTGAAAAGATGAAGGCTTAACTGATTGGCTTCCTAACCATTAATAATCCCCTGCACATGGCCGAAAGGAATTAGCTTTGAATCAGTTTGACAGGTGATTATCTGGAAATTTGCTTTTTGGGGTTTCACCAAATTCATGTGAAATAGGAGCTTAAAGATAAAATAGGCCTAGTTTGAGATTACACTTTCTGTTATTCTCAGCTGCTACTGAATTTTTAAATGAATTTCTTGTTATCTCTTTATTCAGGTTTCTCCCACGTAATCATTTTGGTCAGATAAAATGGATTTGGTCAATCGATGGTGGATCACAAATGGATTTGTTTGATTAATGTTTAAGGTATTAAATGATTGTTTTTGCTGATGCTGTAGTGTTTTAGGAGGCACTTTTTACCTAAATAATCATGGCTTTTTGTGTTTTTTTTTTTATATATAGTTTTTTGTTATTAAACTAAGATTTATTCATTGGCCATTTTCCATTTATCCATTTTCTCTTCGCACCTGCCCATGGTGATTTGGAGAATGTGAAAATACGTCACAGGTTATGGTGGGCTTCTAGCCAAGTGTTAGCTTGTCAAACGGTGTTCACCTCCCAGCCATATCCCAAAGACCTCAGATAGCAAAGAGTCATTGCTTTACTGCAACTGTGGGAACAGTGCAATCAGGTGCAATCATAACTATACAAGAACAGAAGCAGCTCGTACACTGGAGATTACTGTAGTTTACTCACTGCAAAGCTGACCATTTACATCTCTATACAATTGGGGCCAATAATGTATAACTTAATCCATATAATATCCTATAACAGTGCTTTTCATTTGAAACTGATATATCAACATTTTTTTTGCAATCCTGGATACAGATAAAGACCTGACTGATATAAAAATCATCACCAATACAGACTTTTTAGGAACTAAAAATTCCATTAACTGATAATATCGGCCAATATAATTTTATATGGTCCAAAGCTGACTGTCAAACTCAAGAAACGCACAAGGTCTTTAATAACTATAAACACAAAAAGCCATATTATAACCCTAAAAGAAGTGACAGAACATGAACTCTCTTTTTGAACTATAAAACAGTTTTAAAGTATCTTATCTGTTCTACTTAACAGAGGCAAACACTTGGTTTTTGTGTGATATACAATATTTCCATTCTTAGATGATCAATAACCACTCATGCTGTGTATGACTTTGTTTGTTTGACCCGCAGCTTTGCCCAATTTGGATTTTTGTCACTAGTATAAAAAAAAAACTCCATTTGGTTTTCACTGCTCTACCCCACCCCTTGGACCGCAGAATGTGGATGCCATTTCTTTGGTTCTTTTTTTGTAGTTATTTAGTAAGTGGTATCAGATAGCGAGCATTAGGGCTTCGTGATATATTGATAAAATGTCATACTGTGATTATGAACGATGATATTGTCATCAGTTTGAATATTTTGAATATGGTGATATAACATAAATGCTTGTTTTTTTGCATAATTAAGTTACAATGCAATATTTTTACACAAATTCGATCGCAGTATTAGTAAAAGAATTTGGTCATCATAATCAGGAAAAACTGTATTTTTCTGTTTTTCTACATATGAATATTAGAATATATTGATGAATATCAATACTGTGAAAATCTCTGCAGATATTGTGATGAAATTTTAGGGTATATCGTCCAGCCCAAGTCAAACCTGTTCCCTTGAATGAACATCGAGGCAGCCAGAGAAAAAAACCTAGCAACAAAATGTACTGTTAACATTTTCCAGTGTTACACCCTACTATAGTTTTATTTGTGTATGATTTATTTATTAAATATGAATTCAGTTTAGAGCATTCAATGTGTTGCCTTTTCTCATGTTCTGAATCTGCTTAAGGACAATTTAATAACAATAGATACTTTATTGATCCTCTTGGGGAAATTGTCTTTATGCCTCTACTTGCTCTTTGTAGAGTAAGTTGTCTGTGAAGGGCAACCACCCATAGCGGCGCCCAGGGAGCTGGGGGTTAAGGGCCTTGCTCAAGGACCCGCAGACATGCTGGGGTTGGGTTTGAACTGGTGACCTTCTGATTACAGGCACACAGTCTTTGCCCACTGAGCCACATGCTGCCCCCTTTTAAGGGAATTTAAGTAAAAATGGAGCATTGGAGTAAAGAAATAATTAATTGAATGATGTTGATTATCACAATATAAAATGGTAACACTTTACTTGACAGGGCACAAATATTTAGTAATAACTCAGTTACTATTGAAGTACAAATCATAAATATAGTTGCTACTTGAGATAGATGTGTCACAATTCGTTAATGATGAACTAACATGAGATCTATATTTCACGTGTTATTCATGATTGTTCCTTCAGTTCTTCCTTCAGTAGTTCACATAGGTTTACAGAATTAATAGATATGCTAACAAATACAGTAACTGCTTGAGATAAAACATAACAATTCTTTAATTAATTAACATTAGATTAGTATGTAACTAGGACTTAGTATTATACTATTACTTATGTGTTAATTTATTACAAACTATTTTATTTATGCCTAGTCAAGTAAAGTTTTACCAAAAAAATTATCACAAAAACATATTTTACCGTATTGCCCAGCCTTAGCGAGAATTATATGTAGTGTATGGTCTTTTTCTACACTTTCATCCAGGGCAGCAGTTACAGAGCTTGTACATTTCAATAGACGCGTTTTTTTTTTTTTTTGCTAAATAAATGTATGCATTTAGTTGAGCTCTAATACAGATAATAAAGAACTTCCACAGAGAAGGATTTGGTTTTGTGATTTAGTCATAAGATGAATTTAATGTGCTCCAACTGATATAGCATAATATAGAACAAGAAAACATTTTGTGACTATACATGAATATTGCCGTAATCACTGTTCATGCCCAGCACATACAACTATACCTGCCTTTTGTTTGAATATACTTTTTATTCCACTTTTTGTTTTTCTCTCACTGTGTAGATTTGCGCAGACAGCTGGAAAGTGCTGAGCTTAAAAACCAGCGTCTGAAGGAGGTCTTCCAGAAGAAAATCCAAGAGTTTCGCACAGTGTGCTACGTGCTAACTGGCTACCAGATTGACATCACCACAGAAAACCAGTATCGCCTCACGTCTGTGTATGCTGAACACATGGAGGATTCTCTGCTTTTCAAGGTAAAACATACTTTAAACTTCTTTTCAGTGTGACTTTCATTCACCATGACTGAATTTAGATGCATCTCTCTCTGTAAGTTTGCACTGGCACTATATTTAAATATAGAAATTTGCAGATGTTCTAATCGTCATGTTTATTTAAAATGTGTACTCACTTTACCAGTTTGAATAGTGCTGACTTTCTTCCACTAGTTTATACATATGCCTCTTTAATTTACTCAACCTCTATATCATTTTATTCGTCTCTGGGTTTAACTTTGCCTTTCGACTTCAAACAAGATAAGGAAAAAACTTAAGTCACGGTGCGACTGTCACAACTTCATTTTAGTAGCATCAAAGTATTTGCCCTCGGTGCAGCTAGACACAACTATTCCCAAAGGGTGTCACTTTTCTTGGTTATATAAATACATCTCTTAAGTAAATATTTTTAATCACAGCTTGATCAAAATCTCTTCTCTTATACGCTTGCAATGTCACTTAAATTCCACGTATTCATCTTAAATCTGTTCTTATCAGTCCCCACAGCTTTGTCAGCTGAATACAAAAGGGCTGATTTCTTTACATTTCTGCACATCATAGGTCTTATCTGTCACATTAGGCATCCTGATTGGATACCTCACCTTAGTGCTGAGATGCTGTAATCTAAGCTGTGTCTAGATGGCACTTTGTCATGTGACTGCTTTATAACTGACACTTTCATGCTCTGAAGAGTATTCAGTATCTTTTACTTTAGGCCCTTCTGCTGACCTGTGCCTTCCTATGACTTTATCTCTGGGTTATTTTCACAGTTCTTTTATTTGCTTTCCATTCATTTTTGGGACCATGGTACCCTTGAGAGGCAGATGTATGTGTGCAGATTTTTCCCCCTGATGTGCATGATTAATTTTGAATGAATTATGCACATTTGGGGGCTGATTTAGAAATCTTATGGGTCCTCAGTTGCTGACTTATAGATATCAAACAAAAACTGACTAAAAGTGTAAAGAGATAATTGACTAGATGGTAAAGGAACTACAATGCCTCAATGCCCATGGCTGTCTGGATGTTTGAATGCTTTTGGTGATGATTACACAACTCTGGTTATTTGGTTTACAAATTATAAATGGTAATTTGATCCCTGTTGTAAGGTCATTAAATAACATAAACTATTAAAATGCATTTTTATCATTTCAAGTAAAATACTCCTGTGAATGTAAAATACTCCTGTGAAGTAAAATGCATACATTTTCCACTAGATGGCAGTGTGAATATAACCTAGGATCAAGTAACTGTGGTCATCGACTTTAGGATAGTGTGTGTGTGTGTGTGTGTGTGTGTGTGTGTGTGTGTGTGTGTGTGTAGAAGTTGCAGGGACAAGATACGTTCATGGCAGTCACATAATGAATATTTATTTACTTGTTTGTATTAGTGTGGAATCATCAGACATTTTATATAAATGTTGGGAAACTGTTCAATAAATAGACAAGGCAAAAAAGACCCTTTTTGGTACTTCAGATTTTGACATATCTGACATATCTTATACTGTATGTTACCCCCACCCACTGACCAGGAGAGTGCAAAGGTGCCAGTGGAAGCCTGTACTATATAACTTTATAAGAGAAATGCACAGTGTGACTCTGGTGACCGCACAGCGAACACATTAAAGCTGGCTGTGTGCCTAACCAATTATTTGCTGCCTGACATCTCGAAAAACATGTATATGTACGTACATGCGAAATAGCTGTTTCATGTTAATTTAAATCTGTGAAGGTTTGCTTTTTTTTTAGATGAAGTAGGTACAGGTCTTGCAGTCCCTCATGCGTCATGTTACCTCTCTGTTTAGTCTTTTGTGAAAAATGGACATTTCATGAAGTATGTTTGGACACATTACTATATACCTGGGACAAAATATGAAATGCCTTCTCGGTCTGTTTGTGTTCTTAAAGATGCATGAGAGGGCACACAGCAAATTGTTTATAGTTTGTGCACAAATGGATGTGATCATTATAACTCACTTTTGGCAGGCAGCCACAATTTTTTTTTTGACTTGCAGTTGATGAACAGACCATGTGAACTCTGATGCAGAATATTGACACCAAGATATGTCTTGTCCTGTGTATTAAGTAGTGTTTTCCCCTTTTGCGTTATTGTGAATTCTCATCTTTTCTGCTAACCGTTTATGAATGTTGTTGAGAAATCTGTGCAAATTAAATCCATTGTGAGTAGGGTGCATCTAAGATATGTTGTTTTTATTTCTTACCTTCTCAATACCCCTTAGTGAAAAAGTCTGTCACATTAACGGAACTTCGAAATATATATTGTGCTTGCAAAAATATATAGTAGATTTGACACTTTTTGCTTAGTTACTAGACTGCGCAGGACTGAAGTGTTTTTTCAATTCATTTATATATCTACATACTTGCACCTTTGGTTCATAATATCAAAACGGATGTCATGTTGAAGGGGAAAAGAGTTCCTGTATATCAGAGCTGAATGTGTGGATACTTGGATAAGTATGAATCACAGTAATCATGACCATTGTGTTTGCAAAAGGATTTCAGGATGATGCAACGCAGCTCTAGCTATGTCGCGTAATACCTGAGATGAAAGTGAATTTATCCCCGTCCCCTAGATTGATCAGCAGCTTTGGATCTGGCAGTTTTTCTTTTCTCCAAGGGGTCTTAAACCTTTAGCCCTCTTATGGGTCAAGCTCAGTTATGTCAGCTCTGCTTTGAGGGCCTCCATTGTCAGCTCTCAATTACTTTTAAAGGAGGTTGAAACTAGGGCTGCCACTAATGACTGTTTTTCTATGAATTAATTTATTTACTATTTTACTAATTGGTCGATTTAATCTAAACAATTAATTTTCCTCCAGAAAATCAGATTGACCGTTTAAATTTTATTTTGACAACAACAAAGTGAATGTCATTGCAGGGCTGTAGATGATGGACGGCGGCGCTTTGACACTATACGGACATTATTTTTGTCCACAGTTCGATAAGCGGATTAATAATTAATAAATTTGGTTATCAGAGCACGCCACCTGCTACTGTTTTGGTAAATCATGGAAGCGATAAGCACTGAAGTCACAGTGAAGAAACAGACAGATCAACAGCCGCAACATCTTTTAAAAGAGGAGAGACATTGTTGATAAACAAGGTTAAAAAAAAATTTAAAACCATTGGTGTTGTGGTGGTACTTTGTAGATTAAAGTCCGACACATTTTTTTGATTAGTTTTCATTCTTATCTCAGTTTACCAATTATTTTCTTTTATTTAGTGTCCATTATTGTTTCAGATTTAGTTTACGATTACACTGGTCCCAACGTGCACAAACACACACTGACACTGCCAATCAACGTAGAGTTAGCCCAGATTCTAGTATAAACATTTTCTCAAACACTTATTCAATGGAAATTCTAAGGTAGCAGGCAGACAACTTTATGGCTTTAATAATGAGTGTATTTAGCAGCTACAAGGACAAATGATTTTAAAAAGATCTCCATACTAATGGTAATTTAATAAATGTGAATAAGTAACACTTATGGCAGTGTTGCCTACTCTGGTCCATCACCTAGAATAGCGCCTGTGTGTTTTTTCTTTAGGTGCTCCTGCATAGCGCTAGTATGCCATCAAAACTTTGCACAGTGTAAAACTACATTTTTGTTTTGTGCTAATTTGAACTACTCCTATAATTACACAGTGATATTAAAGGAAAACATAAAAAAAATTATGAAGGTAATTTCATTAAAAAAAAAATTTTAAAAGATATGTTGGTTTAAGAAATTGATGTTGACGCATTTTCAGTGTTGACGTCATCAGCTACGTCGACTAATCATGGCAGTCATAGTTGAAACACACAGTGTAATTCACTGCGATGCATCTTATTAAGTCTGTTCCATCAAAAATTAAGCAAGAAAACAATATTGACACATTTTTCCTGTTTTTTATAAAAATTTTATTCTGAATGTCTCTTACTGTGGCATTAATGCAGTTCCCACAACCCTCTCCAGAATCAGGGCCTATTTATGACTGTAGAAAAGGATGTGGCAAGCAGGTGTGAATAACATAGCATTCAAAGAATCAGAAATTGCCGGGAAGTACCCATGAAGAACTGCTAGCCACTTTTGAAGATGAGACAGGACCAGGGGGTATTCCATGAAAGTAGCTAAAGAAAGCCAGACTTTCCAGACAAAGTCAGACTCAAACTAGCACCATCTCTAAACTTAGCCTCAATGTCGTTCCACTAAAGCAGTTCAGCTTTAATTAATCAAGGCTCATACAAGACAGACTTGCATAGTCTCACTTAGTGCGCACACCTGAGATATTTAAGAAGTCCAAATGAATGGATGAATGACAGATCGATCAAATGAGTCGGAAAGCCTGTAAAACGTAAAATGTTACAAGAACCTAGTACAGTGGTACAGTGATTTTTGCTGTTGCCTTACACTGCGAAAGTTCCTGGTTCGATCCCCATAGCCAACGGGGAACTTTCTGGTTTGAGTTCACGTATCATTCTTACTGTATAATGTTATTCTGTATTATTTGATCTCCATAAAATACTTTCAATCGCATCCATGTGAAATGTTCTGCACAAATAACTGTATCTTGTCTTTGCTATTTTACTAATAAACTTTCCAAGTAGACAGTGACTAAACAAAATATAAAAAATATCTTCCTTTTTAATATTATTGTAATGGATTTCATTTCATGTTTGACTTTTGTAATATGGGTATGCTTTTATTTTAATTATTTTGGAATTAATTAGAATGCTAAGGTGTGATTTTTATAGGCTTTATTAAATTTATTACATGACATGAGTAGGATTTTTGGGAATCTGTTCCCCACACGTCGATTGTTCTTTGATACATAAATGAGCCAGACTTGTCGAAATAAGTCAGACTTTCCCTTAATCCTGCTTCATAGAATACCCCCCTAGAAGTTGAACAACAATGTAAACTTGTTGGGCAAGTTTATTTACAAGAGTTGGTTCCAGTTGGGTCTAACTGTTAAGCTTGTTGT